TCTCTCCCTCTGCTAAAGGTTTGTCAACTGAACATTGTGTGCCCTTGTCTGATTTGGTGGATCAGTGGAATACTGAAGGAACTTCATGACAACAAGGATAAACAGCTCAGGAATGTCATTTTTACTTAATACATTGCTGGAAAAAAAGGTTTTACACCATTGTAGTGTTTTCTGCCAATTGAATTTCCAGAAGTAATTAATGTGCCCTAATTACAGGACCTAAAAACAATTGAAAGAGCCTCAATGGGTGAAGTGAGCGTAATCCTAATCTGTTTATAAAATGAGCTGCCTTCATCCCCCTTTCCCCCCTGGAACCCCAATAAAATGGAGCACGTTTTAATTCACATCACCACTGTATGGACAATAAGCGCTACCTTGTTGGCGATGACTGTGGGGATTAGATGTCTCATGGACAGAGGATCTATTTCAAGTGAAAGTCATTTATCTTTGATCTCTCCCTCATTGTTCGGTCGCCTTTTCACTGCGACGCAAGGAGATAATGACCCAATCCGAATCAAAGTGGCTTTTAGTGTACCCCAAAAAGCTCACCGCGTTTCTATACGCACGGGGGCAGCGGGGTGCAGCCCGCCATGTGACAGACCCGCCCCCTCCGCTGAGAGGTGTCATTTCACCGTGTAGCTGCGACTCGGCACCGGGTGCGTGCATCACAGAGGTGCCTTGGTGCTTTTCAAAGATCCTTTTCATAGACGGCTGCTCGGAGGCAATGCCCGTGATGAATGGATTTCTGCTCGGCTCCGAGTGGGTGGCTTAGACAGAAGGCACAGTGTGTGTGTGTGTGTGTGTGTGTGTGTGTGTGTGTGTGTGTGTGTGTGTGTGTCTACCACCCTCTCAAAGAGATAAAGGTCTAAAAACCAGATGACGCCACAGCGTTGTCGTCAGCCGCGCACGCCGCTGTTTCAGCACCGTCATCGTCATTCTTTTTATATGTGATGCAGCGCTGCCTTCAGACGAAGCTTACCTCATCTTATGTGCTTTGAATCCCCAAGCGTGGCAGGGAGGCGTCCTCTCGAACTCCAAGCCCGGACCCTTCTCTGATGTGCAGTTCTTGAAAATTGGCCATTCCCCGTGTTTTATTAAAGCCAGAATCACTTTTGCCATGAAGCAGATGTTAAGATTCCCACCCTTACTCGGAGCTAATCAGAGAGACGTGACGTGGGTGAGAGCTTTTTAACTGCTGTGCACAGTACCAATAAATTAACACCTCCCTGGGTTTAATGAATGCGCCGTGATACGTGCGCGGAGGCGTGCGTTTTTTTTTATCAGCATTGGTCCTCGATGACAGCAGCGAATGCCAGGTTGTCTTCTCCGGGAGTGGGTTAGCCCCCCCCCCGAATATATAGCCTCGGACTACCTGACCTCATATCTCCAGTCACAACGCCTCAAACCAAATGTTCTAACATTTCCCCCAAAGGGTATCAGCCATTTTTGATGTCCTTTAACCGTATTTATAGCAAATCCATATCCTTTTCATTAAGAGGCCCGGAGACTTCCAGGAGCCAAGGCTAGTAAAAGACAGAATGTGACACTTTTACATGCTACACGTCAGGTTCACACAGGTAGTACCGTGAAGGGCATACTACTCTTAACCTCGCAATGATCACACTGGAGATAAAATGCTGTAAAATCTTATTTCAGAGCATTAGAACCAGACTTCCGGCATCATATTTCACCTTTTAATGTGCACGTGTCAATATTCCTGCCTCCAGCAGCATTACAGATATGGAAGAGATGCATATATAGTTGTTCTTCATCAGTCCGCACTTACTGTATATGGACTTTAGAGGTATTTCAATTAACTGAAAATAATGAATGTAGGAATGATTGAACTCTGCACTGAATTCTCTCAACGTTTTTTAAATTTATTTTTTAAATAGTGTCGGAAATGCCATTACCACGACAGCCCCGGCGAAGGTGCTTCATTTATTTGCTTCTTCCGCCTCCAAACTAGATTAAAAAAAAAAGCGAAGAAGGACCGAACCTAATTTATGCAAAGACCTGGCACAATGCTCATGAATACATCAGTGAAGGGGAAAAAATTAGCTTTCAAACTAAAGTTTGACGGAATGAAAGCAGAAGGTTCGTTACGAGTCCAAGGCCAAACACTCTCCCGAGTAGCTCCGCCGCCATTCACCTCATCGCTCCAAACGGGGAATAATGAGGAGCAATTGCGAACAGCATCTGTCACTCACAGGTTACGGATGAACTGAACGTGGAGCATATAGGGGGAAGTAATGGCTTCACTCTGAGTCCACAATGAATGACAAAGTGAGCGGTGCGGCGGCGTGTGCGGAGCGAATTTATTCCGTGTCCACACGTGTCTGTGGTCTCTGCTGGGCGACGCTGTGCTTCCCTGCAGACTCGGTTTGGGATGCTGTCCAGAGCTCAGCTTCAGCACCAGCTCCTCTCTCACACACACACACACACAGTCACACAGTCACACACCCGCCCACACAGTTTCCCCTGCACACACACACACACACTGTTACACCTGCCTACGCATTCTCTCCCTCTTGTGGATGCAGAAAGGTTTTTTTGGTTGCTGGGATCAGTGCTAACGCTGTTCCTCTGGTCTGGACAGGGCTTAGAACTGTGTGTGTGTGTGTGTGTGTGTGTGTGTGTGTGTGTGTGTGTGTGTGTGTGTGTGTGGGCGCCGCTTGTCGTGATCGTGCGAGTTGGTATGCATATGTGTGGGCAGGTGTGATTCTGTGCGCGTGAACCGATGGGAGGGCATCAGTGGAGGCCGGTCCCGTCTCACACGTGACTCTCGTCATTACAGAGCTGCAGCAGGGCGTCTCTGTGAATGTCAAACCTGTTATCTGTTACACACACACACACACACACACACACACACAGCGTATCCCAAGCAAAAGACCGTAGTTCATATCTCTGTGTGTTTATTACTGCGAAAACAATAATTAGAAAGACGCCTGCAGACCTCCTTTATGTCCTTTGTGGTAGCTTCAGATCAGCTGAAGTGCGTTCGATACTCCGTGAGGTGTCTTTAATATCTGTGAGGAAGAACAGGAGAGCCAGGTTTAATATTTCTCTTCCTTTGATGAGACGTGAAGATTATTTGCTATTTACACCGGGAGCACAGGCTTGATTAAAAGTTCTTCTCTGCCTGCCCACCTGACGTAGAAACACAGCGCGCTCCGTGTTGCTACACAGACTTGCACAGGGTGCTACTTCAAATGCCGCAGCACAGCGAGCGCCACTCTCTCTCTCTCAAGCCTTTGAGGTAACAGAAAGAATCCATATCATGCTTTTATGCATTTGCATCTCAACCCTAGGGATGTGTTCCAGATATGTGCTTGACTTAGAATAGTATAAAAATATTACTCAGGATGAACCGTGACATTGATGTGGTGACGAAGACCAGGCTCCTTAAAATTAACTAATACAGCCAAAGCAAGTCAACATTAATCGTAAAGCACCTGTCAAACAAGCAATTCACTGTGCTTTACATAAGACAAAGTCGTGCATTAAACCACGTCTAGAAGCAGAGTTAAAAGGAAACTGAAATCTATTCAAATAAATGAAATGTGAGCAAATAAAATATAAATAGACGACACCGAAAATAAAGTTACAGGGATTTAATGAAAAGCATTTTCACAGCAGATATATTAATTTTCTTTGGCAAATAAATTTAAAAAAGAAGCACAGGTGCAATCAGTAGCAGTAACGATGGAGAGAGCCTGGAGCTGCCACATCTGGACGTAATGCAGTCTTTACTCATGTCATTCAGTCCAGAAAACAACAATAGTCCTGTGAGACCATCAGAGGCATCACGTTAGCTGAACGCAGCTTCCTCGTCTTTGGATGTACTACTAGCTGAACGCTTTTTATGAAATAACAAGTTTAGTTCTGGTGTCTGGTGACTTGTTGTCCTTTTCTATGTTTGATCCAGGACTGAAATGGCGTTTTTTGAGTGCAGCACTGGAGCGATTACCTGCAGCTCGCCGCCGTCACGTTGATCTAACGAGAGGAGAGGAGAGGGATGATTGCGCGGCGTCGCTAATCGCACCACCGTGTCGTGTCTCTCTGCTCTCCTTCACTTTCACGGAGACATGCCATGTCACGCCGGCCGTGTCGTGTCCTCCCCTTTTGTCTTCTTGGCCTTTATCGCTGTCCTCTCCCCCCCCCCCCCCCTCTCTCCTCTGGGCTAATTCTTATCACTCCACTCGGGCCCACATCCTTTCCACCGCTCCTCTACCTCACCTTTACTTTCCGTCTTCCCAACAGTCTCTTTTCCCACCACTGCGTTCTAACCTTCACTTTGTCGCTCCCTGCTGACTCTCGCTGCTCTCGTCCACCCACTCGCCTTCGCAATAAGCACCGCAGTGACGATCCATATTGGATTATTGTGTTTGCCTCTGGGCTGACAGTTTAATTGCCTTCATCCACCAGGGTATCCGTAAGCCTGACCCTGCCAACCCTGCATTTGCATTTCCGCAGAGAATACCGGATTGACCTGTGCATGAAAAAGCCGCAGAGATTTGGTCGTGACGGCGAGTTAGGTAGAGTCAGAACTGGCCGTTGTGCACCTTCCTTCATTTGTGTGCACTGGATGTTGGCTAGTGTGTCCGAGGTGCAGGACCAAGACCTGCCAGAATTAACAAGCTAGCGATTCAGAAACTGCTTATCGCCCGTCATAACAATATTTCTACTCCTGAGCCGAGAGCTACCTGCTGCACCCACTGGATGAGCACAAACATGTTGTGCGTTTCACGCTCTCCGAGTATAAATATGCATGCTGCCTTCAAGCGCCCGGTGTTTTGGAGTGTGTGTCCAAATCACTGCCCACAAAAGCCACGTCCTGGGGCGGACGCACAAACTGTTTTACTATCAAAACGCAGCTTTCCAGCTCGTTCCGTTGATCAGAGACTTGGAAGTTTTTCCGGGAAACCGCTAATGACCTTGTTTGTCTCCCCCTCTCTCCCTCCCCGTCTCCCTCCCATCCACTTTGTCGTCCCGCTCAGGGCCGTTGCACGCGAGAGAACTGCAAATACCTCCACCCGCCCGCTCACCTGAAGACCCAGCTGGAGATCAACGGGCGAAACAACCTGATCCAGCAGAAGACAGCGGCCGCCATGTTGGCTCAGCAGATGCAGTTCATGATCCCCGGCACCACCATGCAACCCGTGGTCAGTGCATCAGTAAAAATCTCTTACTTTCTATAACTTTCCTGTTATATTTACTCTCACATTACCCTGTTTTCAGATGACATCTAAGGCTACAAAGACAATGATTTCTGTTCTCACAATAGTTATTGAGAATGGCCTTGAGCGGAGCACACGGCTCAGCTCCTCTCTGGGAGTTGCTCTGCAGTCAGCGGTAGACTGTGGCTGGGCAGCTGCCAGGTGTGAACGTGTTTAACTGCATCAATGCAACGCTGGGTGCAGCTGAAAAAGAACACGCTTGCTCAGCAAAATCTTCCCAGAATACATAGAGGTTAAAAAAACAACAAGCCTCCTCTTGTTTCTACCGTGGCTTCCCTCTCCCTTCCATCTTTTTTTTTCCTCTGAAGCCTATCCCCCTCTCTACCTGTCACACCCTCTGTCATCTCCCTCACCCAGCACTCTGCACCGCTGCGCCCTCCGTTCATTTGTCTCTCGCGCCTCTTTCCTCTAACTTCCTCTTTCTGCCTTTCACCCTCCACTCCCTGCTTTAGAGAAGTATATCTTAAGTGTCGCTAAACTGCCTTTCTCTGTGTGCACAGCAGACGTTTCCAGTCAGCCAGGCCCTTGGCTCCGGCGGCGGTTTGAGCTACACGTCGTACCTGACTCCCATGTCCCACAGCATGGGCCTGGTGCCCGCCGACATCATGTCCAACGCCCCCTGCATCGTCCCCGGCAGCCCGCCCATCTCCGTGACCGGCGGCTCCTCCTCCAACCAGAAACTGCTGCGCACCGACAAGCTGGAGGTGACCCACCCAATCACGGTCGAGCACGACAGCCAATCATACCGAATGTTGTCTCTGAGGTCGCAAAGTGTGTTTATGGTCCCGCCCTACTGGGATTATGGGTGTGAAAGAGATGCAATGAAAAGGCTCACTACATACATACATATCGAGCCACGATCAGCCTCCTCACTCGATAGTTCTTCACCTCCGCAAGAGCATCTGATTGTGTTATCCCTCGCAGAAATAATTCAGAAACATAACACAGAGAAAAGGGAGATTATAGTAACTTAAATTGGAAATCGCTCAACACTAACTAGTACTTGCTAGACAGCCACAGTTAGACCGGTACAATTACCACAACTTCAGCAACCTCCATCTGCCCCCTGGCAAACAACACTGAGTGAGAATAGCTCGGTGATCGAGGAGCGTTGTTTTTTTTTTTTTTTCACTACATTTTTAAAGATAAACAATCATCTCCCTCAGACCCGGAGGTGATGCGTAGGCGTGTGCCTGTATGTGTTTTTCTCCCGGAGTGCTATCACTTAGCAACTGAATGAAGTTGGCTCTAATGAAACAGTATCCCTGTGAGACACATATACACGCCCACACGAGCCTAGCATGTGTGTGTGCGTGTGTGTTTGCATAATGTGTGTGCTTTGCTGTAGCATGTGACGATGTGTCCCGGGTCCCAGAGTGCAAGTTGTAAGCAGATCCCAGATTGCCGCGACTTTTAATTCTGGTGCAGCAGAATAAAGTAAAACTTTAAGATTCCGTGCGCGAGAGAACAAGAAGGGATGAGAACAAATCAAATGCCGTCGTCCAGATTTTGATGGCTGCCTGAGTGACTGTGTTAGTTGGTTGATCGTGCGCTACAGTAAGAGGATGACAGGGAATAAATTGAATTGGATGCATTGTATTACGCTGTTGAATATTCTTTCTTGTTCTGAAGGCTCACGGTTTGCGTGTCTCTGTTTTCTCCTTTTGCATGCCCACATCTGTGTGTGTGTGTGTGCCCGTCCACATCTGTGTATCTGTCCGTGTGCGTGTGTGTGTGTGTGTGTGTGTGTGTGTGTGTGTGTGTGTGTGTGTGCGGCTCTCAGGTTTGCCGTGAGTTCCAGCGGGGCAACTGCGCTCGCGGGGAGACCGACTGCCGCTTCGCCCACCCGAGCGACAGCCCCATGATCGACACCAGCGACAACACCGTCACCGTCTGCATGGACTACATCAAGAGCCGCTGCTCCCGCGAGAAGTGCAAGTACTTCCACCCGCCGGCCCACCTGCAGGCCAAGATTAAGGCCGCCCAACACCAGGCCAACCAGACAGCCGTGGCGGCGCAAGCCGCCGCCACGGCTGCAGCCATGGTGAGAGCACAGCACTACAGCTCACCCTACTGTACCCTACACAGTGGTAGAGCAGGAAAACACACACACACATGTCCTTATAGTAACCGAACAAAGCCCCCAAGGTTCCTGATTGCTTTGAGTACTTACAGAGCAGGAACTTATAAGGTCTGGATGGGACAATAATGCTATTTTATAGCGCCTATATACAGTTTACCTTGAACCTTCTGACAAGAGCTTAGCCTTTCATTGTGATACCCATGGAGGCACCAAATAAACAAGTTATTATTGGAGGTTTTATGGTTGTGGAAGAGGAAGAAAACAGAATATATACAGTACTAATAACATTTATATTAGCCCAGGGGTTCTGGGCCTAAGCACAGATTGCTGTACTGTAGCTGTTAGCCGATCGAACACAGCCCGACACGACGCGCTGCTGCTGTGTTGGTTTTTGCTGATCTCAGTCGATCAACTCTGTACCAACTACAACACACGTAACCACATGAAAGCTCGCTAAACACACGCGACATTACTACAAATCATCCTGGCACGCATGTAAACGCATGCGACATAAAATGTGGAGCGCTGCTTTATTACTGTACGAAAAAAAAAAAAACACACCCACTTCCGCTGGCTTATTCTAGTGGACTCCAGCGCACAATTCACCAACAATAGTCGTCCCAAAAGTGAGGCCGTTGTATACAATAAACAGGGTTTAGTGAGACCTAAATGCATCAGTATCTGTTATTATCTCACCGCAGTCCGCTTTTATTTTCCAATGCCCTTGGTTCATACAGAGACAATGTGCTGGCTCACCCCCACCCTGCTCTCAATGATAAGTGCGGCTCTCTACAGATCAGTGTAAATTGAATCGGGGATGGATGAGGATGTAGCCTCACGGGTAGGGGTGGGGGGGGGGGGCGCCTTTAGTTGGATGAGACAGACGGACGGATGGAGATGCAGGCAAGCAGACAGACAGCGGGATGGGTTTGTCAGTGTGTCTTGTATGTGCCCCCCCCCCCCTGGCTCTGAGTGGCTTCTTTTCAATGGTCCTTTGGCTGCTGCACTCGCACACCTTGTACTGCGCCAGTGTGCTGCTGACTGACTTTCACCCCCTCCATGACATGGGCATGCTTTTTTTTTTCTTCTTTTTTTTTTTAATACGCGTTGCACATACCTCTCTCATTGGCTGGCTCCATCGCTGCTTGCTCTCTTTGCCCTTCCTCTCCATAAGTCCACGGTGTGGACGTCGAGCCGTCGACCGTGAGCCCAGGTCAGTTTCGTTTGTGCATTTTTTTTTTTTTTTGCGGCAGCTGCACGGGAGCAGGAACAACCAGCAGGAATTGAAACATGCATAAATATGAGAGAGCCCACGGCACTATAACCTGACGATGACCCGGCGTTTTCTTAAAGGCACACTGAGCACCTTAGCTCAACAACCAGTCAGGTACACAATGCTTCTCAAACAGGAAGATTTAGTTTGTCTGCCCTGTGCATTCTCCTTACAATCAATGCTTCATACTCCTCCTGTCTCCCTCATATGCCCCAGTTTATCAATTTTATGACCCAATTTGCCATCAGCAGTTACAAGCTGTGTAAGAGGAGGGCAGGGTTAACCTTAGGACAATGACTTGTTTAGTCAGCACCTTTCATCCAATTTTCTTTTAGCCCTTAGCCTAAGCTGAAGCGCCTTTATTGAAGCAGAGACCCATAAAACCTGTATTGCTGCACTGCTGCAAACAAGTAATATCATTATCCATAATTCACTTTTTTAATTTTTATATCTAAAGCGAATAAGCTTCAGTGTATTGTAGATAAGGTTACACATTAACTGATACAGTTAGAGTAAGAAGATCCTATTATTGAGATCATGCCGTTCTACTGTGCCACATGATGTGCTGCTTGCCACGCTGTCGAATGCAGTCATCTCTGCTTTCCACGTCATTTCGACAGACCATCTCCCACCTGACCTAACCACAGGGATTGAGACTACAGCGCCTCAGCAATGCCTTGTCGATATATATATATATATCGTCATATACTATTAGAAAATCCAACATACATGAAGCAAGAGGCTTGTGCATGGACCCCTGAAACTGCTGTGCTCATCACATCCATGTCATCTTTTTCTTTTTCTCCCCCCCCTCTCAAAAGCAATAAGTCGACTTCTAGTTTTTTTGATTTGTTTTTCGGAGGAATGTCAGAATAAACAGAGCTCCACATTCTGTGACTGATCGATCGGCTCATTGGTCACACTAACAAAGCCACGTGCGCTCCCGATGCGGATTGTAGTCTGAGGATTTGTCACTTATTTCAAGCTACTAGATGTGAACGCCACCACAGGAAAGGATGTGATTGTTAGAGTACTTATTGTAGCTGCCACACGGCTGACAGCTTCTCAGCAGCCTCCCGCTAGCAACAGTGTTTCTCTGTAATCCCACACCGATGTGACCGTTGTGAGGGGCAGGGTTCAGTAATTTGAGGGGCTCACATCCCAATCTGTTGTGGGTGTTCTATACAATTGTCAGGCCCAAAACCACCTCCAGGAGCACTGTAATGACGGGGTGTGTAGGAGTGTAGAGAACCTGTGTTCAGATCTCACATAAAGTGTGTTTCCTGCATTGTCTTCCTGCGTAGATATATATATTTATATATTTAAAAAAACAAGTTGATTTACTTTACTACTAAATGCTTTCCCAGTAGTTTTGAAATCTTAGAATCTTGCTTTTTTAACCAAAGGTTAATGTAGATGCTCTTTTGCTTTTGTACTAATTCAAAAAAAGTAGCAATGTTTCTTTAAAGTAAACAAAACAGTTTTTTGTTTATGTGCATGCCTATTGTTTTGTATGTGGTATACTTGCATTCAGATTATTTTTGTTTTTTTCCTTCTCACCTATCCACAATGCAATGCTGTCCCCCATGACGCACCTCTGCTTGCTGTTACCTGTATGTTAATACGCTTGAATCCCATTGGCCCACTGCCATCATGTGCTCGCTGCCTGCTAATTAAAGACTCAGTCGACTGCCAAAGCAATGAAGCGACCCCTCGAGGCAACTGTAGACCTGGTACTTTGACCTTTCACCTTTTGCTTTGCATGTAGCTTCTTTAATTGTACTGTAGCCACTCACAACATTTAAGTTGGCTCTTTTGTTTTTGTGAAACCCTGTAAGACACTTCTAGATTGTACTGTACATTTATCAAACTACAACGTAATGTTAAAAAGAATTCCTTTTTTCTTTAATGTGTTGTTGATTGCCGTGTAGTTTCTCATTGTCCTTGTGATAGTTACAGTAAGTTTCCATTGTTGCCTTGTTGTGCTGTGCATAGAGAAGTAACAGATTCACAAATATCAGTGTTGACTTGTGAGAGCGCACGGATCAAATCTACTGTGCTTCTGTTGTGTGTGTGTGTGTGTGTGTGTGTGTGTGTGTGTGTGTGTGTGTGTTCGGTGGACAGGCGTTCCCACACGGCGTCCTCCACCAGCCCCTACCAAAGAGACAAGCACTTGAGAAGAGCAACGGCTCCCTGTTCAACCACAGTGTTTTGCACTACCAGCAGGCGCTGGCCAACGCACAGCTGCAGCAGCCCACTTTCTTTCCCACAGGTAAGAGGCCCCCCAAGCTTTGTTCAGAGCAACACAAGATGTGACGTATTAGCACACCTCTCTCAACTGTAACAGCCAAGCATAGAAAAGAGCTCAACAGGCCTGGTTGTTTGCAACACAAAGGCTCCGTATCTGTGTTAAATAATAAGCCTTTTAAAGGGAATGACTTGGAATTTTGTGCAAACGCAAACCTTTTCAGTGTAACATCGATGTCGAAAAACAAAAGCCATTCTGTTCCAATTTTCCCAAATCAATTCAAGTCTGCGCCCTTATTCCTCTTCAGTTCTTTCGCCCTCAAACAAAAAGCACTCTCCGTCAACTCGTCTCACAGAAGCCAACAGTAGCTTAAGCCCCCCCCTCGGGGTCGCGCGCTAAACGAGTTAGCTGCAGCTAATGCGGCAGCCTGTAGCCACGCTGAGTCATGAGGATGAGCCTCCCATCCCTCACTCTTCTTTTTACCTGCTCTGTTTTTGGGTTCCCCCCCGGTGTGAGATGCCCGACAGCCCCTCATCCCTCCCTCCCTGCCTCTGTATCTGTGTGTGGGAAGTAGCCCTGGGTCAAAGTCGTGTTGGCGAATCCCTGTTTCCTGTAATAATAATCTCATTGGTCCAGCTTTGCAACATGTTAAACTTGGATTTCATAAGCTCCAGTATATAAATTTGCTCCATGTTTAGCTGCTGCTTTATACAGACAGTACGTTTCTCACTAATGCCACAACTGGATCAGGGAACTCCTCTGCTTGCTCCTGTTAACTGCATTTATAACAGGCTGTAGCAGTAGCATCTGAAGCTGAGTGACGTCTCCAAGCTTTTATTCTTTGTTTTTGTCTTGTCTAACCTTGTTGTTTCTCCTCCCTCTCAATTAACCCTTTTATTTTCTTCCTCTCTCCCCGCCCCCCCCCTCCCCCCACCCCCCTCTCTCTGTCTTTCTCTGCATGGACACAACAGGGTCAGTCTTGTGCATGACTCCCGCTAGCAGTCTTGGTAGGTCCTGACCTTCCCTTTGCTCTCACACACACACACACACACACACACACACACACGCACACGCACACAGTGTTTGATGTATAAGAGAGGGAGGTTGGGGTTGGAGTGGGAAGAGCGGCCAATATCTGCAGCCCTTGCAGGTGAGACAAAAGGTCACCGCATCAGCTCCTGTGGCGGTGATGACATTTTTAAACGCGCTCTAGGAAATCAAGCTTCTTCCTGCTGAGATATGATGTGAAACACCTTTTTATGTCCATTCTGTATCACCTGAAATAGTCCTTGTTTCCCTGCTGACTTACTCGCTAATGACTGTTTGTGTTATGATGAGAATATCAGACTGATCTGTTCTGAAGCTGTAGGATAGCCACTGTCTGTTTGCTGTGCTGTGTTGATCAGGAAATTGAAATCAGTTTCCCAGAGAAGTTATTTCAGCCACGTCGCTGCAGCGTTTTGTCTCTGCTAAAAGGGGATGGGAATGACAAAAAGTCCCAGTCGGCTAATCGGCCGGTCCCACATTAATAAATGGAAATATGGTGACTCGGAATAATGATTTTAAACATATTATTAATGCGATCTATCAGCGCTGAAGTTGCCGCATGGGTTTTTGGCGTCCTCCTGCTGCTCCTCTTGTCAGCTCACATGAATACAAATAAATGAAGGAAAACAGAATTCCCATCCCCCGTTGCCAAGAAACGTCATTGATTCTTTGTAATCGGTGTCTCGTGCCGTTCAACTTCTCTGGGAAAAACAGCAAGCTGATTTTCCGTATACATTTCCTTACTTGTGATTGTAATCAGCTTCTCTCCTCTTGTTTTTTTTTTTTTTTGTTTTGTTTTGTTTTCCTCCCTCGCTCTCTTTTTCTTTCTTCCTTTCTTTCTTTCTGTCCTACTTGCTTTGCATCGTGAATGGTTGCATGCCATCTGCCCTAACGATGGCTTGCTGGCTCTCTGTTAACGTCCCTCGCCATCAACAACTCCCAACAACAACAACAACAACAAACGATACCGTCGACACGCACACATCACATCTGTTGCCACGGTTACCATAACGCTCCACCTACCTGTGTCCATTGCTACCACTTCCTCCCCCTCTGCCCCATTCCTCCTCCTCCTCCTCCTCCTCCTCCTCCTCCTCTCACCTCCCCACCCTCAAAACAAAGTCCCAATGATGTACAGTGCTACGCCTGCTACTGTCTCTGCAGCAACAGCTCCTGCCACAAGTGTCCCCTACGCAGCAACAGCACCAGCCAATCAGGTTTGCTCCTTTTAAAGCTTTCTTTCATCAGTCCCTGGAGCTCTGAATAAGTACTGCCTTCTAATAGGGAGCTGCAATGACCTGCAGCTGAGCCTCAGCCCACATCCAGCCCAGCCCCTCCTCCACATCCATCCAGCCTCACTGGCACGAGAGCCCGAGTGGGTATTTTCCACACGATTTAAAGCGGAGGGGGTACCTGAGCCACGGCCACATTTAGGCGCTCCCAACAGGCACTTCTTCAGAGCTCCCACATTTGCAAAGTAGTAGTTGTGTTGTGTTGCACTTACTTCCTGGTTTTTGTTTTTGCATGTTCTGTTTTAAGTTTTATTTTCCACTTCTCTTGTTGTTGTCAAAGAAGCCTCTCCATCCGCAATAGGGGGCGTCATCCGTACCGCTTGTGTGCTATGCAAACACACACACACACACCACATTCAAGCAAACACACACAGGCCCTTTCTGCAGCACCTACAGCTGCCATGTTGTTTTTATTTTATTTTTTCTCTGTTTGTGGCCAGCCCGCTTTCACCTTTTTAACTTTTCCTGGTCGCGGGACAAAAGGGAGGATAAATCACGCGAGGAAACAGTTACGGGCCCTTGTCAGGGAAAAATGACCGCAGAAGCCGTCTAAAAATGGCCTCCTGATCGGAGGCTCTCCTGTTGCCGCGTGTCAGCAGGAGCCAGGGAAGCCGGGGCCAGGTTTGAATGCCAGAGTGACGCATGTGTGCCCCATTTCTAACCTAGGAAATTTCAGCACAATGCGTGCAGTCTGGCCTCTTGCAGCTGGTAATCATTTGCTGGTAACACGCAGATGAACAGACTCGTGTTCCACAGGTAGAAATGTAACGTAAGAGGAAAACAATCACGTCATGTTCACATTGTTATCGTTATTACTGACTAGTTGTAGCGACCAGTGTCCTGATTTTACCTTCTCTTCTTCTTCCACTTCTTCTCACTACTCGGTCTTATTTTCTCTCTGCATCAATGTACGAGAGAATATATTTAAGAAGCAAGAGTGAACACCTTTAGAAACGCTTCCTGTGTTCCATCTGGAATGAAACTATAAATAGGAACGGAAGCTGAATCAAAAACCACAGGACCAAAAAAAAAAGAACATTAATCATTTCTTCGAGATGCCCATTTGATCATCAACCAGCGATCCGGCTCCATTACATTGTGCTTTATTGCCCCTCATAGGCCGCCAGTGTGTGCACTTCCTGCGAGTCACCGTCTCTTCCTGTAATTGGCATGCAGCAGCAGTAGCAGCAGGAAGCAGAGCTGCTCTTTAAAGATGCATGTGGGACAAGGAGCCGAAGAAACAATGACGTCAGCCCCCCGCTGTCTTGTCTCCGTCAGCCCCCCCCCCACCCCCACCCCTCCCTCCCTCCGCCCTGCATAAAGATCCCTCCAGCTAGGACACATACCCTACACGCCTCGTTTACTACAGTCATCTCTTTCCAGAATAAACACCAGGATTCTGACCTCACTGTTACAAACAACCTCTCAGTGCCAAAACCCAGCCGGTCAGGAACCCCCATTTAGCGTCTCTTCTTAATTGTGTTGCTTCTTCAAGACAATTCTGACAGCAGGAGGAGAATAAAATGACCGCGGTGATATTAATCATCTGTCGTATCCGCTGCCAAACGAAGGTGTGCTGATGCTAAATAGTGAGTAATACACATGCATGGAGGGGCAGGATGTTGCAGACGCTGAGAGGTTCAGAGTCTGGTCAACTCATCAGCGTCTGAGCTGTCAGTGTGACATGACAAGCGGGAACCAATCACGTCATTCCATGTTCCAGCTGGTATTAACCAACAGTGCTGGGCTCGTGAACTTGCAGCGCCCTCTACTGCCTGAACGTGGCATTACATCACACACCTCACGGGCTACAGCCTGCTGAACTGATGGGAAGATAACTTGTTGTAATTAATAGAATTAGAGATTGTTGCGTTGAGCAGGTCTTCAGCATGGTTCAGTCTCTCATCTCCCTGTGTCATATTTCTTATCACATTTATTGAAGTGAACGCACTAGGTCACTTCGATCCGATGCAATTAGAATAACGATCTGAAATGAATATGTGTAGTTCAAACCCCCTCCGTGATTCTGTAACGCACACTTGATCTTATTTAACTATCCAACTCTCATCCTCTGCCAGGCTGAAACACGCTGCTACTGCAAAGTAGGACCCATCGGTGTTCGTTTTTACCCCCCGGTGGCACCAGACGGGTGGGGTGTGCCGTCCTGTACGTGCTCGATCCCGCCCACCTGGCACCCAGTCGTATTTCTTTTTCTATTTTGCCGCCGTGGAGCAGCCCGAGCACATCACATGCTCTCCACCTGTGGTGACCTTCTGCGATGTGCGATGTGACCAGTGGCTTTTGTCTATTGTACATCAACAAGCACCACGCCGCCACAGACAATCCCCCCTCTTCTTCTCTCTCTCTCTCTCTCTCTCTCTCTCTCTCTCTCTCTCTGTTTGTTGGATCCACTAAGAGAGAACTGTTCAACACCCTCCTGGACAAACAAAGACGTGGCCTTGTTGATTCGGCAGATCTCCTTCCTGGGTTTACTTTCTCCAGACAAATAGAAGTGAGAAATCGTATCAACGGGAAACCGCGACTCCTCCACTGAGCTGGACCAGAAAAAACGCCCCAAAGAGGCGTTCAAATTCGGCCTACTTTCACGCCTCCACGCTCCATATTTAGTCGGCGTAAAGGTTGTTAGATGATCCGACATGCGTTTTGTTTTCAGCACAGTGAGGCCTTAAGGCGGCAGAAATAAAGGCAAATAGAGTTTGACCCAGATCACACCAAACACAATAAAATGCGTCTTAATTATAATAATGAACAGCGTTTCTCTCCTACAGGTTCACTAAATGTGTCTCTCCTTTTGTTCCCCTCCTTCTCCTGGTCTCTCTCTCTCTCTCTCTCTCTCTCTCTCTGTCTCTCTCCTCCAGATCATCCTGAAGTAATTTTCAGGAAGGGAGTGGAGTGTCACGAAGCTGCACTAGGAAACCCAAAACAGCCCCAGTGTAAATACTACTTCACCTCTCCCATAGAGGTCCAGCAACCTGCATGCTAAGAGTGTAACACTTCAATTTAACCGTAAGAACTGCAGTGCCGGTGTAACACACACATTTAAAAAAAGAAAATTAAAAAAGATATATACTGTATGTATTGCTAGAAAAAACAACTATTAACACGAAAAAGTCAAAACTATTCTTATGTATAGTACTACATACATAGCAGACACATATAGAGGTCATTCTAACACCTGTTCTCCCAAAGTACCGTGGACCCCTTCTCTTTTCATATTTATTCTGAAAACCGCTGCACAATGTTCATCCCTTTGGTTAGAAACAAACAAAAAGAGACGCTTGATTTGCACTATATGAGGCATATAGTGCGTAACGTGGATGACAGGAAGAGTCACAGAAAACCCGTGCACAACCGCACCAGCGCTCAAGACTGTTGTTTCTTTTCCTCTCTACCAAGTTGAATGTCCTTGGGGCAGACAGGCTCATGTTTTCTTAATGTGACTGTCCCTGCGAGGGGAACCTCAGTGACCCTCATCTGCCCCAGATGCTGTTAAGATGCCATGATGACACTTACCCCCCCTCTCCCTCCCCCTGCCAACTTTTCATCTCCGGAAACATCTTGCCAAAGCGGAAGAGGTCGGTGGAATCAACCTGCCAGAAAGCAGAGCACCCTGATCATTTTCTTATTTGCCATTGCGTAAGCTGCTCACGACGCACCCTGTTTATTTGTTTGGGTGCCGGGTTCAGTTCCTTGTTCAGGGGGGAGCGGTGGGATAGACTGTGCACGGATTTCTGCATGCAGTCAGGACTGGGGGAGGACAGTCGTGGCCATTACTGAAGAAAAAAAACAAAAAACAAGCCTAAAGGCGCAGGGATTGTGCCAAGGGCTTGAGGGGTTCGTTCCAGACGCACCAAGCCCTTTTCGTGCGTGTGTGTGTGAGACTGATGGTCTGCCGGCAGACTGGGACTTGAAGCGAGGTCGAGCAGGTGATGACAACACCAGGCCTGGTTGGAGAGGGGTATTATTTGGGAGGGGGGGGGGGGGGGGGGGGGGCGAGGGACTTAAAGTGCTAAGACTAAACAAAACAGACAAAAAAAAACGGTGCATTTGACGACGCTCGTCAAGCAAAAGATGACTTGCACTTCGACTGGAGGGCTATCTGTGACCGTCGGTTTGTCCTGTCCAACCCTACTATCACCGATAATCCTGTTCCATTTTAGAAAAAAAACTGTAGAAGTGCCTAAAAAAAGCTCATCCACGACACATTCATCCGAGAGCGCATCACCAAGAGACGCAGACGCGACGCCGCCGGCTGTCAGGAGCGTTGAAAGGACTCTTTTTTCGGGGGAAAGACATCACATTTATCCGTAAATCGTCGCTGGAAAAAAAAAAAAACCCCGGCGACCGTTCATCGACATCACAAGTGACTTTATCGAAGAAGTTAAAGAAACCGACAAATCAAAAAATAGCTTTGTAGAATGTTTGGTGACTTTCACGGTGTACCATCGTTTCTTACCACGGTTTGAGTAGTTTACATGAGGAATGTGTGAGACAAAAAAAATGTATTGTAAACTGTGTAATGTATGTAAAAGTGTCTCTTATTTTGAGAGTTTATATTCATGGTTCTAGAAATGTATTCAAAGTTATTTAAAGTTTGTGTTGTGTCTACTATCAAGGTATTTTTGAACCCCTCCACCATCTCCACCTCCACCCGGAACAATCATCCGTCTTTCAGTCAAGGCCATCATTCGATTGTTTGTAGACCAAACCCTCTCGCACGACTTGACTAAATCTCATTTTCCCGTTTTATCAAACGTCCTGATGTAGTTTCATGGTGCTTGATTGACATCAACAATCCACTATCACACCGTGGAGCCGGAGCGCTTCGCTCTGGTCTCACGTTCTGGCTTCGTCTCCACGCGCATTCTGGTTCGTACGTAATATTTGTGGAAGGTGGTGAAAGTTTTATTTTGTCGTAATTTATCCTACGTTGCTCTTGGTCAAATTTTTAGTCAAAAACAATGTTGTTAACTATTTTGAAATGAATGTAATTTATTGAGCTGTGCTGCGTTCTGCACCTTTGGTCATTTCAAGGTCTAACGAATGAGAAGTCGCGCGTGCGTCTAAAGGGGGCGGGGTTTAAAAGTCAACCCACCAATGGAAAGCTACTGGGTCTTTCTTGCCTTCTCACGAGATCACGGTGTTGCAGTAATGAGCATAGTTATAGAGTTGCTTGTGTTGTTGGGAGAAAAAAAAAAATGTTTATTGTACAGATGACATTTTACCAAAAAAAAAGAGCAGAAAATTTAAAAAAAGATGTACTTTTCACTCTAGTATAATAGTATTTCATAACAATATTAAGTTGTTGCCGTGGCAAACAAATGTTGCAATTACTAAAGTTGGGTATTTTTGTAAATGACATCGTTAAGTTGTTTCTTTTTGTTTCTCTTTGCTAGAACACTGTACACAAGGTAGATTGTAAAGAAGGTATGAACATTTATACTTATTCTTCACTGAGATTATGACAATGACCTAATATTTTCATTAGCAGATCAACAGCCTGTATAGTGCTGTGACCGTAACACTTAAATAGATTTAAAGTCATCAATGTTACAGAGATTATATATATATATATAAGAACTGAATCATCTATAAGTACAACTCTTCCCCTGACAAAGGACCTTCATAGGTTCCACACTGAGACATGTTATTGGAGGCGTATGTATCACTAGAGTTAAGGATTGCACTTTTCATGTTGTTTAAAGATGTGGTCTGTTTTTCATTCCCTTTAAAGGGTGTTTTGAGGTTTCTGCACCCTGCAGTCAATCTGTTTGATCAATCCAACTTCAATTCAACATCTTGCATGAGAAAACAACTGTTTCCTTTTCTGACTAAACGATAACGTACCGAATGTTTCTAGTCGGGGGGGGGAAACAGGAAGAAGTCTGGACACAAAATGTCCTGATTTGGTGACCCACAATGCCCTTGTGTATGGAATCCTCTTGAGGTGTAATGTTTGTTTTGATTTTTAAATATGTCGGCAATGATTGACTGATGGAGAAAGAAAAAGTAAGCACTTTCTGAGCAGTTGGTCGACTGAGCAGACTTATCCAAACACTTTGCCTTATCTTGAGTCCATCGTGCTTAAGGTTTTACGTTTTTAAGAGCTCTTAAGAAGTTTATTCAAGAGACTTGACCGGGTCTCCCTTCTCAAATCCCTTCTCAATTTCTTTTCAAATGTGTATCTTTATATCTGAAATCATTTTTTTTTTTGGGTTTTAATGTGCACATCAAAAGGCCAAAAGGGGGGGGG